TATATCGTGGTTTTGATTCTTGGATCGCATTGAAAAAATTTGACTTACTTAAATAAGATCAAATAATTCAAATATCAATTTGAATTAACATTTTTAGAAGTGACTTCATATCGTTACAGTTAACTAACAAATCAACAGCTATATCACGTGATCAACTAATATGGTCATAAAAATGACGGTTTCTAAGCTGCAAAACTTATGTGAGTTTTCTTCCAATGCTTACTGTGCGTTGGGGATTCTGTGTGTGTTTTGTAGGTTGGGACCATATGGTTGGGAGAAGGGAGGTACATTTCTCATGTCATGTCCTTAATTAATGGATTAAATAAAGTATTAAATTGGGAATCCCAGTCCATGATTCATCTCATGTTTAGTCAAATGCACTCTCAATGTCTCACTGTGGAGATGCCAAACTCCATTTAACAAAATGCCACAGCAACCAACAAAACCTCGCAATTCGCATTGAGATGGAGGAGGAGGACCTCTTTCTTATTTGTGCTCCTCCTAGGACCATTTCTAATCACACTTGTTTATTCAGCCATGTTTTTGTTTCATTTGTCATCACATAATTCCATTTTTAATAATATCTATATGTGACTTCATGTCTTTTGTTTATTAACTACAAGTTGTCTTTCCACTTCAAGTTGTCATAGGAGGGAAATTTTTTATATATATAATGGGGATAACACTGTTTTGTTATCATCGGCTAATAATACAATGACACATAAAAAAGTTATTCTATATATCATTGCGTTATTAACCGAAAATAACATTTTTGATATCCCATTGCATGAGAGTTTTCCTCCATAAGAGGAGTTGCGACTTGACGAGTAATAAAAGAGAAGGTGCTTGACCAAAAAATAAAAGAAAGGAGAAGGTTGGGAACTGAGAAAAATGTGTTGGATGGAGTAGATCCTAGAATTCATAATACTTTTGATGGGCCTCCAGAAAACTGCAACACAAGATGGCCCAACCCAATCTCTTAATGCTTAGGCTTTTGTATAAGCCCATATCTTGTGAGGGTGGCTGTAATAAAGGCCAAAATATGAAGACGGTAAATTATACCAATGCAATGCAACATGGACACTAAATTTTGTTGTAATGTCTGACCTATAATGTTACGAAGAATGAAACCCTTAGGGCGCAAGAAGGTCCGAAGAGGTCAAAGTAGAAGGGAGAAACAACGTATAAAGGAAGAACATTCTCCCACAAGTAGGAGGAAGGAATTTCATCCCCAAGTTCGCTAAGGCGTCAACTACAAGTTTAGCTTCCCTAAAAACATGCTGAAAAATGACAGCCTCAACAGTACTCAAAAGGCATATATCTTGAACAATTTTAAATACGTCAAGGAACCGTAACTTTCTTAAGAATGCAGTTAATAATCAACTTGGAGTCACTTTCAACCACAAGCTTCTTCTAGTTGCGGTTAAGGGCATTGGCAAGTGTTAGGAACCTTCATCATTGCTGAGTTGGATTAGTGATGAGCTGGCAGAGTCTGTTTGTTACTTATTTAGTTAAGAAGTTAGTTTCTAACCGAATTGGTTAAGAAGAGCTTTATAGCTATATTAGGCAATGATTGTATCAAGAATGGCATGTTGAGAATATTTTATTGTTTCGATAATTCAATAAATAATACTTGTTACTCTGTGTAATTCTAGGGTTAAGGTTGAAAGGGGTTCAACATTTGGTATCAGACTAGTGCGAATCCTTGTTCCCTTCTCTTGTGTGACCAGGGCAACCTAAGACTATAGACAACTGTATCTCTACATTTGAGGTCTCCATGGATTCTCGTATCTCTAAGCTGGAGGCCACTATGGATGCTTTCATGCGTGCTTTTGATTAGAAATTTAGTCAATTGGATACCAAATATGATCAATGGTTTGATCAATTTCGTCGCGATATTTCGACTTGTAGTGATCACGACGTCTCTGGTGACAGTAATCACGAGCCGCATCCTGATTCTATTTTCTCGTTGCAGCGTTCGCCATTAATAAAGATGGAGTTTCCTAGGTTTTGTGATGGTGATGATCCCCTTGGGTGGATTTACAGAGCAGAACACTACTTCGATTATTTCTATGTTCCTGATGCTCAGAAAGTCAAGCTTACTTCCTTCCACATGGAATGTGAAGCTTTACAATGGTTTGGTTTCAATGGCTGGATTGTATTCATTGATATCCACGGTGGGAGGATTTTACCAAGGCATTGTGCCAAGAATTCGGGTCTTTCGATTTGGAAGACTGTGCTGAATCTTTTCTCAAGCTGAAGCAAACTGGGTCTCTATGAGATTATATCTTAGAATTCCATCATCTTGCTAGTCGCACTCGTGATATGAATCCATCTATTCTTTGCAGTTGCTTCATTGGAGGTCTAAAGAAGGAATTGCGCCATGATGTCAAGCTATTACGACCTACTTCGGTTCAAGATGCTTGTGATCTTGCTTTACAACTCAATGCTAAGTTTCTTAATTTAAAGCCTACTGTTCCTTTTCGTCATACTCCTCCAATTTCTGTCCATTCTTTTCAGCCTAAGGTGGAATTTCCTGTCAAGAAGCTTACCCCATATGAAATTCAATTTCGTCGGCAACGAAATTTGTGTTTCCACTGTGATGAAAAGTACACTAGAGGCCATGTCTGTTCTAAGAAACAATTACTTCTTATTGATGTTGATTTTGATACTCATGCTTTGGAAGATGTCGATGAAGAGGTTGACCAAGTACTTCACCAAGTTGAGGTCATTACTTGTGCTTTGTTTGTTACACCAGCTCCCCAGTCTATTAAAACCATGAAGGTACAAGGTTTTATTAAGCGTTGCCCTGTGATAATTCTGTTAGATTCTGGTAGTTCCCATAATTTCATTGATGCTACTTTAGTCAAGCAATTGGGTTGGCGCCTCGATCCTTTTACCGTCTTTGATGTGATGATCGTGAATGGAGGAAAGCTATCTAGTAAAAGATGTTGCCCTAATGTTTCTCTTAAGATTCAAGAATGTGCATGCACCACATATTTATTTGCAATTCCTTTAAGTGGGTGTGATGTGGTCTTAGGTGCTCAAAAGCTCATTACTCTTGGTCCGATCTTATGGGATTTCAAGAATCATCGAATGGAATTCACTGCGGGAGACCAAAGTTTCTGTCTTTCCAATACTAAGCCTCAGACGAATGATGGCGAATAGATTTTGAGTTTTCAAATGGCTCAATTATTGCAACAGGGCTATTGTGGAGTGGTTCTCCAGTTGTTACAATCAACAATTCC